CAATAAAATGAATGAAAGAAGAAAAAATAAAATAAAACAGTAAATTTATGTTAAAGCCAACTAAAAAAGTATCAAAATCTGGGTAGAATGGAGAATCAGGAATGTGTCGTTTTTCAGTTTTATAGCATAGTTTGAATTTTTGTTCCTCAAAATAAGAAATAATAAATCAAGTTCAATTTTTTTAAATTCAAAGATTACTTACTGTTGTTATAACTATTACGAAGAGAGTGCAACAAACATAGAAAAATAAATATTATGGAACAACACATAGATTCCAAATTGAGGAGCTAAATCAGTTGGAATATGATATTCTTAAATAACAAAGGTATGTACCACAATACTAATGCTGGACCTGAGACAATATTAAAAGGTTAATTTTCTACATCGATCTGAACAGGAATCAAACCTGAGATTTTAGAGAGGGCGATGCTTCGAATCTGGTGAACGAGCTACGGATATACTTAATACAGTCGTAAGCCCGTAGTCGACACCATTTATTTATATGAATGTGTACAAGGTTCTCAGTGATATTGCTCCTGTTACAAAAAAAAGATTTGTTGAAAGATCTTGAAGTTTGTACGTTGCTACTTCTTACATGATACTAATAACTTATTAAGTTATAGAAAATGTTGTTAAAAATGTCTCTTTTTATACAATAAATATCTGTATCAATAAACATTGCTATTCTATAGATATTTCAAATTTAGGATAAAACTACTGATCTCATAAAATGATTCATCAAAACGGTTCATTAATGATGGTGAGATTATGAAAAATAAGTACATATAATAGAAAAAAAAATCACATGAATTAATAACATTCTCTTTTTTGAAATCAATTACAAACATTCGGTGTCCAAACATAGCAGACGAGATGGAAAATGTCTTGGGCTAAATTCTACAATCTATAATATAGTGCGGGCACAGTTATTTACACTACTTTTACTCAAGTATTAAATAATGTAAAAATTTGAGTGTGGAAAGCTTTTTATTTATTTTATTTACATGAGTAACATTTAAAAAAAAGTGTTGACATTATTAAATTATCGAGAATAAATAAATGGAAATGGAATAAAATTTCAATAAGAAATACTCTTTATTTGAAATCGTAAATAAGTTTTATTCATTTCTTAATGATTGTTTACTTACGTTTTATTTTAAACTTATCATGTAATTCAATAAATATTATTTACAAAAACAAAACATTAATTATTGTAGTATTTAAAACCTTCACAATATTGATTAAACTGGCTGAATAATAATTCTAAACTTTACTGAGTCGAGTAAGTCATCAGTTTAGACCGCGTCGATGGCTCTATTCATTTTTTTCGCCCTCCAATGTAACAACCCAAAAGTCGGTAAATATCTTACAAAGGTGGTAACAATAGCCGAATGCCAATGTTTGGGCCAAATAATAGTACGTCTTAGAAATAGCGTATTGTGCGCCGGAGCATTGTCGCTGGCTGGCTTGCACAAAACCACTCGGTAGCTATCGGCGAGGACCTCAAAGCTCACTGTTTACCTACAATATTATTTTTATTGCCGTAATTGAGTTAGGTTTGTGTGGATGTACCGGCCAGCTTTCTACTTTATTGTTTTAATTTTTATCGCGATCCGTTTTGGTATTTTTTATATCAATTGTCACATTAAATTTTATTTAGTTACAGTGAGAGAACATGATCCTAAGTGATTCTTTACTAGTTAAAATCGGCCATGCTTCTCTTTGACTTCTATGGGAACTTTGGGATGTAAAGTTAAAAAAGAACAGAATAACCAAAATAAACATATACCTGAAAGATATTTTTTAGCTAAATTTAACGGATGGATATAAAAACTGAACGTTAATGTTTGAGAGATAAAAACCTTTTCATATGATTATAGGTAATATTTAATCTAACGAAGATACCCCGTGCATTATAAAATTTTATTGCAAAATAATAATAATAAAATACAATTCTGGCTGTGAAACAAATTTTGACACTTCATGGCCGTATTTGGAAACGTGTCAGTAAGATCAGATATCGAATCTCTACAGCTAACAACTATCAAAATTAAATATCTTTACCCACACAGCGAAAAATGTGAGCCGGCCGATATTAAAATAACCCATAGAACAAGAATTTTCCTTGTTCTGCGGGTTTACTTTTCACTTTCAGATAACCACGTATATCGCATTTTTTTATCGGGCAGATGTCCCAAAATTCCCACGACAAATGGAAAATAAGAAATGATATTTCAAATGAAAAATCATATAAAAGGACACACATAGAGCTATTATTTTTACTATCATAAAATAATAAACGTTGATAAAATGTGAGCAAATTGTATTCCCTTACTCAAGTAATTTTTTTATACAAGCATAGGTAGTTTTGAAGGTTATAATGCCCAGAAAGGTAAAAGCGAAGTTATCTAGATAGTGGTCGAGTTTTTTTTTTAAACAACACAAGAAACATGTAAGGACATTTATTTTTAGTAATAAAAGAGTATTTTCTTATTTATTTTCTTAGAATAGGTCAGGCGTACAAGGTCTGGCACAGGTCAAGCACAATTACTCACACAATACATAATTATAGGAAAGAAATTTTCAAAGTTTATAAATTGCAAAACAGATGTGTATTGCTTTCAATAAAGCTAGCGTAGTGTATAGAGGATATTACCTATAGTAAAATCATCGACAAATAAATTTTACAATGTGGTAAGTATTTGCAAAAATCAACAACCATAAACCTTTTGCAAACAATATTAACCTTTTAAGCAGTTTAAAATTGAATATGAAACAATAGGATCTACCTACACGACAATGGTCATTGTAGTCTTCAAAGGTGCCGACGGACGGTGTGGTGTTTGGTTAGAAAACAATAGTTTTATTACCAGCTATTATCTACGTAGGCTATCTTTATAACATACGTTCATATGTTATGGCCCACAATTTTTGCGCCGTTTAAGTTCAAAAAAATGCTGTATAAAAAGATGATATCTCTTGTATCACACTCTAAACTAAATAATCAAACTAAAGTTTGAGTTTGTTTTAATGTTATTACAGGCATATTTTATCCAAGATTTATTCCACTATACTATAATACTCGTATAATAAGTTAACTTCTGTTACGAGTATCTTAGCAATTGCACAATTTGACAGGACTAACCTACATTTAGTCTAATTTGTGCAATAGAATTGCTACCGATGTTCTTTTAATCGTCATCACAAATTATTTGATATTGGGATATAAAATAAATAAAACCCATTTCTTAAGGCTTCTACGGGATTGGATTATGTTATGTACTGTAACCCATATCTTAAGGCTTCTACGGGATTGGATTACGAATTAAAGTATTTTCTCGCTGTTATGAACATTCTAAATCAATTTTATTTTAGACTATATAAAAGAACGATAAGAAATAGACGTGAACTATTGTGATTTTCCGCTTTGCTCATACTCTTCTCGCTCAACCTTTATACGGTATACTTAAGTAAGTATCTTTAAAATATAACCATATAGTTTTTCCCACTAAACTGGTATAAGTTTTTCAGCTAAAACAAGAAGTGACAACACAATAATAAATAAAAACTAAATGCCTTATTTTACAATTAATAATGATATTCATTCTAGAACTAAACACAAACACTTAGAAAACCATATCAAGAAAAATATAATATAGTATACCTAGACCCTGGACAATACTCTGTGAGCTTTTAAAATTATACACGAATATTTTTTACAACAAAATAAATCTTGTACGGATAGATGTGGTAACATAGTAATTATACTTACATTTGTAATCAAAATGGTATTCATTATTTTACCTGTATATTACAAGAAAATTATTATAATATTTATTAACTCAAGTTAATTTGCTTCATGATACTCTACAACCTACTATGTAGCACCGTTCACGTAAGAGCGTCATATACTTAATAGCGATCCTGAGTATGAAGTATATTAAAAAACAATGTTGAACGAAAATGGTTTATTTAACAAACAATCAAGAAAAGCCCGTAGCACAAGTTTTGTGGCACATGGCGCGGAAAGCGCGGGAAACTTGCAAGTTGGTAAGTTTCGGACCGCCCCCCGCCCCTCGGTTATCTCGCTCACACATTCCCACTCGCACCGCAGCGGCTAACCGCACAACGCAAGACGCTATGGATATCAAGCAGTAGCATTACTCGTAATTTTATATGTATTCCAAATTAATAAATCGTATTCATACTTTATTTTAAAATTAAAAATTTATAACGTGAAATAAAAACTATTTAAATGATATATACATAAGTAAATGTTTGAACACGACAACATCACATACACTGCTCAAATTCCAAGATAAGTAGCCAACGCCCTCGTATTACGGAGTAACTGAGACTTAAAAATATTGCGTATCTTTAAAATATTATGAATCTGATGTAATTACAAAATAATTATAAAGTAATAATAAAATAAACGTTAAAAATAATATACACAAAATGACGCTTTTGAAATATCACATTAAAAATGATCATGTCAATACATCAATCGTTTGATGTGCTCATTTTTTTTTAAATTTGGCACAGCTTTGATTTTTTTTTTATTCACCAAATTAAGAGGCAGCTAATTAGTTATCTCGTATCGTAGTCATGTGTCATCAAAGTCCACTCATCAAGATTATTTAGTAATTATTGAAAAGCTCAATGATAGGTTTTCACACCAGCCGCGGTTATCCGCCGCCCCGCGGCCTAATTACCGCCGCCTCACTATACGTCACCACGATGATTCAAAAAAATCCACCCATCCCTGTCCCACTCCCCTACTGATGCGGCAGCGTCCCACTCCGTCGAGCATTTTTATAAAAACGCAGAGACCGACCGCGGCCATCCCGCTCATTCCCGCCGCAACACCGCGTTACCCACACCCTTCGTCTCCTTCCCACTTTTTACGAGACGTAGGGGCCGCCACCCGGGTGGGGGCGGCGACCGCGCGAACGCAAAATATTGACCATCGGAAAAAGTCGCGTCGTATCACAGTCACCAGTCGAAACCGAGTCCTCGCGAGTACGCGTCTCTTCACTGCAACTTCGTTGAGCGTCGTGCGTCTTCGGCTTGCGGTCTCGACGAGTTACACGGCCGCCCGTATTTTTCCCGAGTCCCCCGCCCGGCGTCTTGTTCCGCGCCCAACAAGTGGTGTAGACGCTCGCTCGCGGCTCACACGACATCTCGCGTCCGTACTTCGCGCAACTTTTCGGAGTAACTCGCCGCGAGTTTGAAATTCGATCGCGTGTTTAAAACTTTTACCGGAGTGTTTAAAGACTATAGTGGCGTGACATAGGACTTCAGTGGCGTGTCAAAAGTCGGTGCGGTGTTTGTTAAGGGTAGACTGGAGTCGATGCACCTACCGCACGCTAGCCCACCGGCCCCGAGTATGGCGGACGTGTATTCGCACATCCATGAATATTACCGGCAAAGTCATGGAGAGCTTGTACAGACGGGGTCTCCAGCGGTACTTTGCTCAGCTTTGCCAGGTCACTGGCGTTCAAACAAATCTCTTCCAGTAGCCTTCAAAGTAGTGGCTTTAGATGACGTTCAAGACGGTACCCTAGTCACCATAAAAGCTGGTAACGATGAGAACGTCATGGCTGAGTTGAGAAACTGCACGGCAGTAATGAAGAACCAAGTAGCTAAGTTCAACGACCTGCGATTCGTGGGTCGCAGCGGACGTGGAAAGTCATTCTCGTTGACTATCACCATCAGCACGTTTCCTAGTCAAGTGGCCACGTACACCAAAGCCATAAAAGTTACTGTTGACGGACCTAGAGAACCTAGAACTAAACAAAGTACGTAAATATTTTTCGTTATTATTCTGATTATTATATATTTAGAATACTTTATTAATTGATACAACTATTATTTTATTAATCAATTTAATGTTTACTTTGTATTTTATAAAATTACGTATATGCGTATATTACATATGTTATATATTACGTATATTATCAATAATAATTTGTTATATTTTTGTTTATCTTAACTTTAACGAAAGAATTCATTCATAAATTTAGCTTTAAAGCTTTTTCTGCATTGGTTTTTCAAGCTTTGCAAGCGCAAATATAAAATCATGTTTCAAAAAATACTTCACAATTAAACAAAAACCTATTATTTTGATAATTTAAATGCGATTAATTCGCCAAATGCGCCTGCGCTGTCTGGCTCGCCGCCAACTCTAATCACATAATTCCGAGGTCGGTATTGCGGCGCCACAGTGTTGAACCGCATACAAAAAAAATCTAAACAAAATTGAATTAAAAGCTAATAAATCTTATTTTCAACGGTCGGAAACATTTTTATAGTTTGAATATTTATTAATGTATTTTGTCTGTATTTCTAAATAGTACAAATTCATAATCAAACGCTGATATCACACATTCATTTTGATTCGAAAAGTTTTAAATGGATAATTTATCTACTTATAGGCTTCATTAAGCATCACCTCCACTTTTATGCACAAAACTTCAAAAGATCATTTGCAATTAATATACCCTAACACATTTTATAATAATAAAAGAAAATAAAGCTATCAGACGCAATTAAATCGGTCAGACTGAAATTAACATCTGCACGATACGTACGTGAGAAATATTCAATCACGCATACATTAATTGCCTGCTTCGTTTAATCTTAAACTACTCGAAGAATTATCGTTAAAGACGTCCTCTCCCTCCGAAAATAACTCCGATTGTCTTTATGAGCAAGGAGTTACGTTAAGTGAATTGTGTTGTGACTTGCCCTTATAAATGGATGTATATTTTAGAACGCTCACTTTTAAATTTACGCCACTTCTGTTTTCGTGCTCGTTTGGTTTAATGTAAACAATGTTATAGGTTAATTTGTTTCTTCGTTTGCATTTAGCATCATGCTAAATGTAATAGTCACAAACTACCTATCAAACTAATTAAGCTTACGATTTACTCAATCGGTTGATGATATTTGCTAAGAAAACAAAACTTAGTAAATACTAATAGGTAATAACACTAGTAGTAACAAAAAATTATTAGTATATAGTAACAAAATCAGATTTGTTTTGTTTTTCGTCTGTCACACCAAGGGTTAAGAAACATGATAATATATAAAATCTAATGAAGAGCTCATTGGTGCAGTGGCTTATGAATCTGGTCTGCAATGCAGACGTTAAGCAACTTTCACAAAGGTCGGTTATTGGATAGGTAACCATAAATGTATTATCTCGAGCTTCTCTGTACTTCGGAAGGCACGTTGAGATTATACTTCATTCGGCAGTAGTTAACATCCACCAATCCGCATTGGACCCGCGCGCTGCGTAAATTAAAAGAACTGAAACTTTATTTTAACAGTCAATCGTATTAATAAAATTAAATTACAACATCTATAAGTAATAAAAACAATAAAAAATGAATACGTCAAATTTATTCACAAAATTTTATTATAATTTTACAAGACCATTCTATTTCGAACACCACAGCACCCACCGAGACCGTCTGTGTAAACACAACCCGCCCAAACTTCGGCCAAATAATAAAAAATCAGTATGCGGAAAAACTAACATCCTCGGACGATAAAGATCAAAGACTCGGCTTAATAAAGTGATCAATGGAGACGAGATAATGGCGGTGCAGGACTAATTACTGTAGAAATAAACATTTTTTACAGTTTATAGATGCATTATTATTTTCGACAAACTTTAGTTACATTCATAATAGTATATTGATAAATATGTTAAAGTAAAATAAGAACTTGTTGAAAAATCACATGTCACGGGCATACATACGAAGTTTCTTTCAGATGGGTATGGTATATTTAGAAAATATTTAATTTTCCTATTGAAGTTGAATTTTTATTGTTTACAATTGGATCCAATCTGACAGAGGCGCTTGTAACGATTTTTTAACACCTCAGTCGCATTAGGTGACCTAATTATCCGATTTTAAAATCTATGCCTTTTAGATTTAGATACACAATGCTTGATATGTTTACAATCAATCAATTGTAAAATTATTTCGCCTCCTTCTTTGCGTTCGATGAGTATAATATGCGTTTATCATATTTAAAAGCGTTTGACATCTAGAAAACAGTGATAACATGAGAATATACACCACATTATATGTCAAGTTTGTCGGCATGTTTCAAATTTCAGTTCCGTAGGATTAAACAATAGCACAAAATTCCCAATCTTGACATTTATTTCCGTTGAGGTGAAGTTGATTGGCCAGCGCGCAAAAGACTTAATAAACCCATGCTTTTTACATGCGAGTAATAAACACAGATCTCTTTTTTTACTTACTAGTTGCGAATAGTTAGTATTCTTATTATTATGGCGTCTTCAGAAGCAACAATTCTTTGAATACTCCCCTTTAAGTGATAAATATTCGAAACAAATACTTCCCTTTACCGTGACTTTATAATATTTTTCGGTCATCATCATCTTCATTTTTTCCTTACAATGTTTATATGTTGTACTGCTTTTAGTCACAAGAATTTATTAGAGGTACAATTATAGAGTACAATATTCAATAATGACGGTCAGTTTACAAATAACAAACCGTTTGAATATTTAAATTCATTGAAAGACTGAAACACACATTACTCAAAATATTCCAAATATTTATCAAATAATTAAATATGTAGTATTCTGAGAACAATCATACGGTTTTAATATACGCCACTTGCGTTTCCAGCGGTTACCAAGTTTCGTGTCCTGGCCACGGGCCGCGTAACAGATGTAAACAATCTCGGTCCGGGTCGTAAAGTCCCGTTTGATCTCCCCGCCCCTGCCCCGCGGTCGCCTTTAAAATATGGATTTTATGTTCCTTTAGCTGCTAATATACCACATCCACGCCATGCGACCCTCATAACCCCAGTTCGCACCAAGAATCTAAAATTATCTTACCCTAAGTTTAACCCTTGAATATGATATTATTTGCCCAAATTAAATAATTAAGCTACTAATTTGCCAAGATTGTGATCTTAATATTTTTAGACATTGAAAAGTAAAATTTCACTTTTTTTAATTCAGGATTTTATCCTTCATGATTTTTTTCACTTTAAAAGGTTCTAGCTGAAAGAGACAGTTTTTTTTATTATTATATAAAATGATTTGACTTGGTCTTTTAAAAGTAAATAGAGTCGTAAATTATCAAGAAATCTTTGTGCCACAACTGGCACACGTTACGACATTACGAATGTGGTGTTTTATATGGGACGCCTCATCGTCAACTATACGAGTCATAACTCTGATTCCATTTATTCTACACGCGCCCGTCTCGTCAACATTAATTTATGAGACAAGGCTCGCGTCTCGTCCAAGATATTTAACGCTCATTTTGACACTTATAAGTCGTATCTTTTATACATTTATTGCTATGGTGGAACCAAATTGGTCAGAATAACTTTTGATCTGAACCACATTAAAATTGAACTTATTTTTGTCGACTCTAATTTAGATTAAGACTATAAAGATTTATCAAACACTTTATAACGTTATAAATATAGTGCATTACCTTTTAATTACATAAATAGATACTAAGCAACACCATTTACATTGCGTTTTAATAAAAATATCTTGTTCCAGTCCTCAAAATTAGACATGCTCTACCCATTAATATTTAAAACCCCACATATGCATAGGGTCGGCAACTGAATTTAATTGAATACCAGCATTAACAAATGGAGCGGGCCATTTCCGAGTTCCACATTTAACTTATTATTGTATCATGATGCCGGAGCATTCTTCAACGGCATTGCCACACGACAGCGCGACGGGTCATCCATCACGTTCTTAATTTAAAATACCCACGATTTAGGGAGCACACCGTACTCGCTAATCTCCCAAAACGAGCTGTTTACGCTTCTCAATTGTTTGATAAACATTCCGTTTAGCAATAAAGATGATCAATCGACAAAACACCATAACAAAAGACAGCTGCATCAACATGTTTAGTGCAAATCGTTAAATATAAAACCTCTTGTAATGAAACTAGCAAGTTTTTCTAAATCACCAAACTATATAAATATTTACCGAGCGAAAACAAAGTACAAGAAGAGCTAATAAAGAATTTAATCTTGTAATAAAAAGTCGATAGTCCTGATTGATTAAGATGAGTCGCGATTGAGTTTAAGGAATGCCATAAAACCCGAAAATAGACAGCGGTGATGGCGTCTTCAGTAGCCTATCGATTAAACAAATAAAAAATCGTTTCGCTAGCTAAAAGGCGAAAGGCAACGTGACGGTGGAGGGTCGTAAAAACGTATGGTTCAGAGGAGCCGGCTGACTGTAGTAGTAAACCGGATCGTTTTGTATACAGACCCCTTGTTATAGTCGTGGTAAACAGAGCACGGGCCGTGTGTCGCCGCCTTTATGGGCTGCCTTTGTGACTTTAGTGCTTGCGGACGTAGCTAAGACTGGCGACCTCGCTTCGTCAATCACTGCTTATTGCAAACGATTTGCCCACATTTTATAGTATCGGCACTTTTCATCTTTTATAAGAAATCGATTACCCAATAAACTTTAAGGTTTTCTCTTTGTTACAGATTATGGTTATGGTCATCCCGGGGCATTCAGTCCCTTTTTGTTGAACCCAGGATGGTTGGATGCAGCATATTTAAATTACGCGTGGGCAGATTATTTCAGGCCACCGCAAATGAGAGATTCGACTAATAATTTGGTTAAAGGTAAAGCAAACTTAAAGATTATTTGAAAGCACCAAGTAATAATGTACAATCATTTTTGAACTAGAATAAACAACTAAAATCTTCCAAATAGCGGAATGCAATCAACGGACCAATTCGGTATTTGTTAATTTAAAAATTCCCAATTTAGCAAGCAAACATGTTGCTCGCGTTTGCAACGCCCCTCAAGGCCGAACAACGCAAAGCGGCTCAAATAAAAGAAGCATCTCTTGAGCGCTGCAAAACAACACCACCCGACCGAAGCATAACCACCCGCTGAAGTCCAGGGGTCGGAAGGGGGGGGGGGGCTAGAAAATACAAGTAAAAAAGCTACCTTCACGTTCGAGAGAGTGTGGAGTCAATTTTATTCCAATGCCGGCAACCGCGCCACCAGCTACTTTTTATTTCCTGTCTGAAACGCGAGCGCCCTGTACCCAAACACTTAAAGACTTTTATTAAACTTACAACTGAGTTAATTCGGTTGCATTGTTTGATTAGCATATTCTTGATTTCAGTTTAATTAATTACACATCTGCCATTCAGTCAGTCTGTCGTCAATGCCATAACATTTAACCCATTAACGCCCGCCGTTCTAAATTCTTTTTAAGTTACCTATAACAAAATTAGCTCCCAATTTATATCAAATAACATTTGACCGACCAATTTACTAAAGTAATTTTATATTATATTTAATTAAGTATTATTAAAGTAAATCGGTCGTAAAATCTGAATAATTTTAACAAGTTATATTTTATAACGTTTCTATTATTGAAATTCTGATATCAGGAATCACCTCAATAAAGAGCGACGTAGATATTGGCCCCCACCCATCTAAATTACCCCCTAGTTACGTCCCCTCCCACCCTCACTGCCTTTTAAAGTGGTCTGTGCACTGCCACTGCTGCAAACAGAAAAAGTGCAAAAGAGGTACGAGGGTTGCACCACCTCTGAGCTCTTTGTGGCCCAATCTGCACCTCCATCGAATCCTTTTATGTGCCAGCTTCTCTTACATACTATCGAGAATCAAAGCTTGCACAGCAAGAACTTTTGAACACGTTGCTAATGAAAATTTCACGTTTAGAGTCTCTTTGTACGCCCCATGTAGAGATAACTCGCTTCCTTATCGCGATGATACGAGCTTTGGTATACAACGTGTTCGTAGCGGCACCTTCATACGCGCCCTGCATTACTAATGCACCGAAACATACACTACGCGACAAAAATAAGACGAGTACTGCCGAATTACAACCTACTCCTGTCTGCTTCGTAGAGAAGGTCGTGTTCAGATAAATAAATATTGCACCCTCGCCCTCCCGATATTGCACTAAAAAAACATCCCTTTCGGTAAAGCCGCCTTTAAACGCCTACAGATTGTACATTATCCTTAGTACGATTATGCACCCTCGTTGTTCGGGGAATCAAGCGAGTGGCCCGTACGCTAGGGATATCCCTGAGGACTCGCCTCTCATATTACGTCATGTTGTGACGAAGACGTCCATCTAGAGTAAGGTTGTAAATTACCAATGTTATTTATAAGACATTTTTTTGCTAACAGGAGCCACACCTATAACAACACCACCGGTTGCACTGCCTGGAGCTGATTTATTTCCATTCCCACCAGCAATGGCAAATCTTCCTCCAGGGGGTTTGATACCCCCGCCTGGTGCCTTTTTGCCTCCAAACGGATTGCTACCATTCCCACCGCATCCAGCTGAGTTAGCTCTAAAAGCAATACCACCTGAACTCTCATTGAAAAGCGGTGTTAACCCATATGATGCGTTGAGGCACTTGCAAAGTAATATGTCTTCAATGGATACGTCAAGTGCTCGTTTATCACCGACAAGTAGTAGACTGAGCAGTCCAAGGAGCGTCGCTAATGCGAGTCCCGATCGTTCAAAAGCCGATTCGAAATCCGAGGCTAACTCGGTTCACGATGCCACTATTACTGACGAATCTGACGAAGAGACTATTGAAGTAGTAAAATCGGCATTTCACCCTACACGTCCTGCTAACGTGGAGTTACAAGAGATGAAGCGTGTGCAAGCGGCTGATTCAACAGTGTCAGATAGACCACATGTGCGTAATGAGCTAAAAGCGCCTTCATCAAGAACCACTCGCGTTCTCTCCACTAGTCCAACTTCTACCAAATTATCGAATGGAGATAGATCCACGCACAAAACAGTATGGCGGCCATATTGACATTTCTAGTGATAGTGTTTTAAAAATTATTATCGCGTACCGTTTTGCGCGGTGTTGTTAAAATGTGATAAACCCATGAGCTTGTAAATAGTATAGGATATTGTTATAAGGATATTATTATAAAGATACATTGATTTATAACAGATATTTATTGTTAGAAATATTTAGATAATAGTTGGCTTAGTGTACCTTTTACCGTAAATCGATATTGTAAATGTTAATAGAATTTGTTATTTTGATTGCTAATGTGTTCAAGCTTGTCGATATTAGGCAAAAGGTTTTGTATAAAAAATTTTACCAAACCAGTGTGTTGGTTGGTATATTTGTAAGAAGATTCATATTCTTCGAAGACGACTGACTATTAATTAAATAATTTTAATTAACTCTAGAATAAAACCCAATATAATAAATGTAAATAATGTAAATTTTATTTATTGACAAAATGAGATGTACTTTATGTAAAATAAATATAAATGTTGCAATGCAATGTAAAATGTTATGTAAAAAATGAAAGTAGAAATACACACTTAAAAGGATGATTCTAAAAATTTACCGTGGTTTTTTTTTTCTAAAACCCATATTAAATGATATTTGAAAAGATAAAGTTAAGTATAATTGGCATTATACTAGTATAGTCACAGCACGTAAGGTTATACACATCTCTCAAATTTCTCCCCTTAATGTTTTGAAGGTAGAGTTTAAAAATTAACTGGAGAAATTTGTCATATTGTGGTAACCTGATATATGAACATAATATATACATTAATACAAAATCTTCAATTTTAATCGTAGTTTAAAATAAGGATCCATATTCCAATAGTTTATAGTAGTTACTATTTATTCTTTACCTTATAAATTCAAAATCCACTATGCAATGAAATATAATATTTCAACCGAGATAATTATCTATTTATGTATGTCGACAACAAGACATTGTTTTTGGACTAAAATCACAGATGAAATCGTATAATAATATATTTTCGATAAAATTGAGCAAGTAAACAATAACATTCTACCTAGTATTTTTTTAAAATGTGTGTATTTAAATAACTAGCAGTAATAGCTATAGGCATAGTAATAGCTAGCAAGTTCACAGCCTTTAAAAATGGAATTAAAATGTATAGTAGTAAAAAATACCTAAGCGGTTCATTTTGGAGGCGCAACGAATTGCGTGATCTTGTTAACAAGCTGCACAGCCTGAGCCATCGCCGTAATGTCGCCTGCCTGTCCGTCTTTTATAGGATGTACTACGGGGAGTGTGCTCGGGAGCTGCATGAGCTCATTCCGCCTTCACCATTTTACCATCGGCAATCTAGACGCACGGCGGGATACCATCCTCACTTGGTTGATATCCCAAGATGCCTTACTAAGCGCTTTTCTTCTTCTTTTACTGCGCACTGCCAAGAAGTGGAACTCCCTGCCGGCGTCTATATTCCCGAGTGCATATAACCCAGACCTATTTAGGGCAAGAGTGAATAGGTTGCGTTTGGGCAAGCTCGTCCCACCGTAGATCTCATCTATGTCTTTAGGCTAGATTGAGGTCAAGAGTGAGCCCATTGTAAATAAATAAAAAAAAAACTTGAAATTGAAGATGAATAGATAGGTACGAATTTTTAACATTACACTTTTACAGGAGAGCATGTCATGAACGAGTATTTATATCCCAAAGTATAACAGGAAACAAAAACAGTCAGTAGAAAGATAATAGTATTTAAAAGAAATTCTATATTGTCCGTCTACCCCGTAACGTCCGGACGGTGATACTTTCATTATTTTTTGTTCTACTATTATTAAGTTATCCCTATTTACAAATTACAAATAGGAATTATTAGATTCTAGCCGTTCCTAGCTCAATCCAGTTAAGCATAACAATCAAACACAAATTGGTAAAGTCAAAATTGACTTTCAGTTCAGTTTCAAGGGAAAAGTTTCACTGCCAGAGTGAAACTTGTGTGACTTGTGAAGAGTAACCCGTGATATCAAATTAAGTATTCAAACCTCCGCACCATGTCGAATTCTTTGTGACTAAACTAATAACAGTAGGGAGGTGTGCACTTTTTGAAAATGCGTCGCGGCATTGCTATCAATTGTGTTTGCGAGCTGATCTGGTTAGTTGATTGCGACCCCCCGAGCCCCGCGGTCAGCCGCCCGCTTCTCAAACAAGCCAAGACCAGTATGAACAGATTCTAGATGAGAACATAAATGGTAATCTGGAGAAGGTTTTGCGAAATGTTTATGTAGTGATTATTATTGTTCGGTCTCGGATCTGAATTGAAGCTTATTCTATTAATGTAAGACATCACAAATATTTTAATACGTTCCTGCTTCAAATTTTTCTTTGTTGAAAGAGTTTAGTACCCACTATGCAGATTAAATAAATCAAAAAAGGGGAATAAATTTAGTTTTTGTCTTGAACTTACTTTTTGATTGAATGACACCCTAATAATTAATGGAAGCAGGGTTCAAATAACGCTCATATATTAGATATTTTATTTTAGATAAATAACTTAACCATTCGTAAATCAAAAGACTAAAGTGCTTTATTGTATAATATGGATGGCAGAACCTAATTACTGGATTCTGAAATATGTTAGAATTAATTGTATCATCGAACTTAGTACAAAAATCAATGGTTCCGATGTTATCCAAAGCACTAATCAACTATAAAGTACTAAAGCATAATTTAATTTTTGTCCTTACGTTATAAAAACCGCATCGTCAAGTTACCTTTCTAATGTTTAAATTATGCTGTCTCTTCTAGTATGCACTTAGGTCTATGAGATTCACTGAATAGAGGTTCCTCATTATGTCGAGCTTTGATTCACATCTAGCGGGCGTCGAGCTTATGATTCCCTTTTTGGTGAACGCCAGATCCGGTACATTGTAAATGCAACGTACGACCATCCTATTTTACAGTATTAAAAACCTGTGGCCAGAGCTGCGTCAGTGAGTGTATTTTGAATTTGAAATTTCGTTTGAGAGAGCACCTGAATGCATGAGTGATTATTCTTTATTAGAGGGTGCAGCTTTATAAAGTTTGATTCGCGTAAAAATTCATTTGGCTTATCCAAGTCGATGGCGCTATAGCTGTGTGGGGTTAATTTTGTCTTTTGATTCAGGATGCATTGTTATAATTTATTTTGATCATATTCATATATACCTAACGACAGATGAATTTATCGATTATCTCCAGAAACGTTAGGTATACTTACGTCAGTGCAAAACATGAAATCTATATTTCAGGAGTAATACATTTGGTAACAAATTACTTTATCACCTCTCAGACTCTAAAAAATAAAAAAAAAAACACTGTTTTAGAATGTAGTAATGCTCTGCTACCCATATTATGAATTTCCACCACATAGGGGTTTTATCTCCAAAAGCAGGACGCCTAGTGAGCTTCAATTATATTTCCCTTTCAGTCATCATTAAGTGTAGCAAAATCAGTTAAAAAATCAGTTAAACAATGAGTTAATTCTGGAAAAAGTTTAGTTAAAACATGGTTATGTTACAGTTGGTAATGTTGGGGTTTCTATTGGATTTGTGAATGTGTGAGAATGAGTGAAACTGCGTAATTGTGCACTGATTTCCATAATCCTACGTGGCACTTGTTCCATTTTTATGATTTGGTAGACAATCAACGCGTTCTATTTTTTATTCGCTATAATGTCAGAATGTCATAACTTAAGAAATAAATAAACAACAATATAAACTCAGAGGCGAGGAAATCTCGAAAGGTACGGTCTACACTCACCCAACTTCCCATTTTCACTTAACCCGTACGCAAACTTACATACAGTCCGACCCCGCGTCGTAAATCATAACAAACATCTTGCCAACCCTTCAGCAACCGTCGGCCTCCCAAGTGCCGTTAATTGGCGACCGGCGAGGAAATTGGTCCGCTGTACTTACTTCCGCAAGTTAATGACTCGCCGCCCAGTGGATGGACGCCGAAACCTATTTAGACGAGTGCAATTTGTGTATGCGCAGGTTAGCCATGTATTTCGAGACCGACGCCGGCGGTTGAAGGGTTTAAGAAGTTGATTGGACGCGATCAAATCAAAGATTTTGGTAAATATATACTTGAAGATAATAGTGAGAATAGAATTTTTTACAAGTAATAAAAGTATCGATATGTTAATCTTGCGAACTGAGAAACTTTATATATAATATTGGTACTTATTCTTTTTAGGGTTCCGTACCTTAAAAAGGAAGAACGGAATCTCTAAAAGTTAGTTTCGTGTATATCTTAGCTTAATTGCGCATTAAAACTATTGAAACAGTAAAGTTCAAATCCGGTACACATTATGTAAGTCGGTGTATAATTATATTAAGTATGGAGTCATACTTGGGACAAAAGTTATCAAAAAAAGGAATTGAAAGTTTGTTATAGTTGGGAGATTTCTTTACGTAACTGATTTTGTTTGCGGTTGGTGGGCAATGTTCAGCAAAGATCTTACAGGTATTGACTGAGGTCGAATTTACTAGGTATCGTTATTTTAACATAAAAAAATTCTTCAAAATATTACACAATATGTATTTTGATTTTTTTTTTATCGAATATACACATATCGAATGAAATAATTTGTTAAAAGAACCTTAATCATCTTAACCTCAGATTGTGTTCCCGTTGGATTAACTGGATCTAAATATTAAAAAAAAAACAGAAGCTCTTCGCCTATTAGATTATAGACCATCAACATTTTTTTTATGGAACTCCCGGTGCACATGGTCGATTCCGACTTGGCTATTTTTTTTACTTCAAGTGGAGAAAAAATTATACTGGAATTTATTTAAATCACATAAAGTACTTGTTACTAGGTAAAATGAGTCTTTATTGAAAGTCTCACCCGGTCCACGAGACGACAATTAAGCAATTTTTACAATGGGCCCAGTCGTAAGATGGGTAACCAAAAATTTACTATCTCGAACTCTTCCGTGCTTTAGCCATAACAAAAACTACCACCAATCCGCACTGGTTACGCGTGGTGACTTACAGCTCTTCCTTAGGCATGTCTATGTGCCAACAGTGGAAATAGGCTGATGATGTTAATGAATGCGTTTGAAATGTTCCCAACAACATTGCAAGGTCTCCTTGGTAAGAAATTAAAAAGGAGAAAAACAAAAAAAAAACGCACAGTAGCTTTCATGGCGAAAATAATACTTTATAGTCTTACTTTGGGCATTATTCAGTAACAATTGCCTTGAGTCATTTTATGATTTTTATTGCGTTTCTTTCAACAAGCCGCCTTTTCAGTTTGCCGACTTTCTTTCACGTGTTCGTACCGAGACCGTTTGTAAATTTTATTATTTTACGAAGTAAGGTTACGGGAGGAAAAAATACACTATTTTTAAACCACTTTTCTCCAAGTTAGTCCAGATACCTACTTATTATTATCTACAGCTCCTAAAAATCCTCGTTCCTATATTAATCTTAGATTTTTTAAATATTTCAAGCGTCTGGCATACTTATTTATCATAATTGTAAAATACAAAATAAACATTTACTTGATTTATTTATTCGCTCCGTAGCTTGAAGATTC